ATATATATATATATATATATACGCACATATATATATTAATTAGTAAAAAAATAGTTTATATACTACTAAATCTAGTTATTTTTACATATTAAATATAAATATAAATTTAACCAATATACTCCCTCTTTCTCTCTCTATATATAATCCATTATATATAAATAAATGAAATAAAATAGCAAATTTACACAATTAAACTTTCTTATATTTCATCACGTGTAAAAACTTGAGTTATTAAAGTCTTTTTTACTAACACTTCGTCTTTAGTTTTTTTTTAACCTTTTTTAATTTAAAAATAAAATTTATTTAAAATATTAACTAAAATTATAACAAAAATAAAATATTTTATTTTGTAACTACATTCATAAATAATAAGAGTTAATAGATAAATAATTATGTTTTACATTACACATGTTATAAAATGTTAGTCGAATATAAAAAATAAATATATGTCTTATCATTAAAATTTAAATATCATTCTCTGCATAATTTTTTTTTATATTTGTTGTAATATATATTTTTAACCTCTTTTAATATATTATTTTATATTTACTTCAATATTTTTTAACCACTTATCTCTTTAATATATTATATCTTTTATAACTATTTCAATATTTTTTTAAAAATATTATCAATAGTTAAACATTCTATCACAATATAAACACTACAAGAAATTATGAAATTACAGATGATCAAAATTCATGGGTAATACAAAAAATTTGTAGGTAACATTTTATTTCTGACGGATTATAGACGGACAATAATTCGTTGGTAAATTGTTCGTCTGAGACATTTACCGATGGATTATAATCCATAGGTAACTTTCCGATAGAATTACTCACGGATAAAATCCGTTGGTATTATTGATAATATTTTTAAAAAATTATTTTAAAATTATATTAAATAACACCTTTATTTAGTGCAATATCCCTCATATCTGACCTTTTAGCAGCTCCACTCCGTGACACTTCACGTAATTCCTCGTTGGTAAGAACCCTTCACCGATTAGATCACCCTCCATGGATAACCCGACCCCTTTTGAGATATTCCTTCACTTTTCGGATCAAAGATTAATTTCACAAATCAATATAAGACTTTTCAGCGTGCCTTGTCGTCAATAAGCTACCAAAAAGTATATGCATCTCATTGGTATAGATAGTACAAATTAATTCCTTTAAGTCATCCTCAACTATACAATCTCATACTTGTATAAATATAGTTAAATCAATAAATCATATTTAAAATTTGTATAAATATATATTAAATTAAAATTAGTAAATAATCAAAGAATAATTAACTTTTATATATAAAACACAAATGTCTTTCTTGTGTCATAACGTTTTTAGAGACTTTTCTTTAACTTAAAGAATTTTATATATTTTTTTAAATTTTTTTATCTAATTTAATTTTTATTTATCACTATTACTTCTAAATTAATTTTATTATTTTTAACATAAATTATTAATAAAAAAATAATTACCCGTAGATAAATCCGTCGATAATTATCTAATTTAATTTTTATTTATCATAATTACTTATGAATTAATTTTATTATTTTTAAAATAAATTATTAATAAAAAATATTTACTCACGGATACATCCGTCGATAATAACGTCGGTAATTCCATGGATATTGTTGATAATATTTTTTAAAAATCATTTTAAAATTATATTAAATAACAATATTGTTTTATTAGAAACAATATAGTTCAAAATTGATAAAATTATGATAAATGTTAAGAAATTATCTTTTTAAATTTAGACTATCATGCATCAATATCATTTCACTAATTATATATTTCTCAATTTAAATAAAATTAACTATATAATATTAAAATATATTGATAGTAAATTATTATTTTATACTATCATTTAATTATAAATTTTATATATATAATAGTTGGTATGGTAAATTAATTAGCAAGAGAAAATTAGTTAAGTATTTCAGAATTTAATTCGTTAATCTTTTATCATTAATTTTTTTAAAGTTACCGACGAACTTTTTTGCATTTTCTACAAACAACGTTTTAGATAGATAATCTGTGAGAAATATCTATCTGAAACATCATAATTTTTTCACGGAAAAAATCCATGAATAACATCCATATGAAATTTTAGACGGAAAAAATATGTGGGTAATATCTGTCAAAATCATTTATGTTTCAAACGGACACATATCCATCAAAAAAATTTGTTGATAATATCATTTTTCAGACGGATTTTTATTTGTGGGGAAAAGTCCATCAGTAATGAGTATTTTTTTTGTAGTGAAAGGATATATCATAAATATTAAATTAATTTATATGTTTAAAAATATTTATTTATTATAAATTTCAATTATAACACAACACATAATAATAAAATATTCAATTATTATAAATTTTAATTATATAAAATAAATAATTTTAACCTCCTATCTCTTGGAATATATCATATTTATAATTATTTCAATATATACTTTTTTTTAGAAAAGATATTTATAATTATTTCAATATATACTTTTTTTAGAAAAGATTATTAATACTTTAACATAATTTTTAATCACAATATAAATGATATAACACAACATAAAACCATTTATTTATTATAAATTTCAATAATTATAACACATAATATAATAATAAAATATTTAATCATCATAAATTTAATTATATAAATAAATAATTACCTTGCACATAATAGAAACTAAAATTTCAATAACACTAAATGTATAATTAAAATATTTATTTATTATAAATTTTGATTATATAAAATAAATAATTATCACGTGCACAATATAAAATAGTAAAATACTAGTTTTATATTAAAACGGGACTTGATTCACAGTGGTATATGTATATTTGGTTTAAATAAAAAAATATTTATTATAAAATTTAATTAATTTACTAATTAATTATTTTAAAATTTATTTATTCCTTTATTTTTATAAATTCTATATTTTGGTATAATTTAACCACAAAAATCAGCCTAAATAGTTAGAGTTTGAATATTATGTTTATGTATAAGATTTTAAGTTTGGGTATAAAAATATTTTGACATGATTTTAAACATAAATTAATTTAATTCAAAATATAATATGTGAATGCATTTCTTAAGTGTAGAATCTTTATAATTTTGATTTTGAATAGTCAAAAAGGAAGAAAGAAAAGAAAGATAATATCTTGATTTCCAAATCAATTGTGATCACATCTCAATTTTCAATTTTCAATTAGTTTTATCCAATAATATTATAATATATCCTTCCTTTAAACTCGCCATTTCTGGCTCCCTCCATATATCATCATGCCTTCTTCATCGATAAAAGCAATTGATTACAAAAAAAAAACCCTAACTTCATGGAAGCCATGGCTGTTAAGAAAAAACTAGCAGTGAAGGATAGAATTAGCGAGTTATCAGATGATGTTCTATGTCACATCCTTTCCTTCCTTCCAACCAAGGAAGCCATTGCCACGTCATTGTTGTCTAAAAGGTGGAGAATTGTGTGGACCATGGTTCCATCTCTTCACATTCAGTGCTCCGAACCAATCATGAAACAATACGAGAGTCTCAATGAGTTCATGGCTCTACGCAGAACACAAAAGGTCACAAGCTTTCATCTCAAATGCAATAGTGATCATGATTGTTCCCCACGTTACTTGGGACAATGGGTTTATGAAATAGTAGCCAGAAAAGTTGAACAAGTGAATATCTCCTTACGCCATATAAACGTGTTCGACGAGGTTGCCTTGTTCACATGCACCACAATTGTCAACTTGAAGCTCAATGGTCCCTTTAGTATCCATATTCCTCCTTCTGTTCATCTCCCTAATCTCAAGACTTTGCACCTAAATACACGCAAATGTTCCTTCAAAATTGCTAGCAACCTTATCTCGGGATCTCCAGCTCTTGAACTGTTTCTCTTTAATGATCATTTCAATGACTATAAGATTATGCGCAACTCTCGAGTTATCCAATTCTCCAAACTCAACGCGCTTTACCACCTTGTTATACAAAGTGAGCCTCCTCATGATTTCATCTCTGACTATTGCCAAGGTCGTGAACTAAACATAGTGAAAGCCAAGGTTTATATGACAGTGTATAGGGCTCATGCGGAGAGAATTGTTGCTAAGATTCTCAAAAGTCTACGTAACGTTGAGCTTTTGTCTTTCAGTTATTTTAGGAATGAGATGGACCTTTCTAATTTTGATTTTCCATTGTTTAAGAATTTAGTTGAGTTAAGGATTTTTCTTAAAGACGCTGTGTCCTTAATAATGGGCATTATTCTTGTCAAGTGTCCTAATCTTCAAGTTGTTGAAGTGAATATCGTAGATGATTGTAAGAGTTGTCGGTATTATGCTAATGGTGGAGGAAGGAAGCACGACCTAATAACTGTTCCTATTTGCCGTAAAACAACCACAGTTAGAAAGCGCCTTAGGACTTCAAGAGATTTAGTTATAGTTTAGTAAGAGCCATGATTCTAGATACAGAGGAGTTCTTTATTGCTTTTGTTTCCACTCAGTTTTTTTATTATTGTTACACTCAAGTGTAGGAAGTGGTCCTCCATACTTTGTTATTTATATTTTACTTAGTACATGTAATTAGAATTTATCTGAATTATATACAAAATCTGCACAAGAAAACTTTGGTGCATTCGATGGAATCGATTCACGTTTGTTGCTTGTGTAACTGCTACCCATGTTCATGGAAGCATAACATAATAACGAATTTATCATGGATGCTATGATTTTATTTGTAATGTTTTTTATTGTTAGAATGGTTTAGTTTTTTTTTTTTTTTTTTCAAAGTTCACAGTAACATTGTTTATCGAAATTAAGACTCTGTTTTAAGCATTATTTTTTTGTCAATATTTCCTTTTGTGCAAGTTGTGAAAAACTTGTTCTGGTGTCCTGTGACATGGATATGTTGACAAGTGTCAATTAATCCCTTTTTTTATTTGTTAGAGTTTTTTTTAATTTATATTTAAAAATTTGAATCTGATTGATAATCTTCACATCGGCCCTTGTATAAACCCTAAACTCCGGTGAGCGGAGTAAGGTGCAATATATAGTAGTCACCGTTGACGTAATAGAGATCGCATGTTGGAGCTGCAATTGCCAGTTGGCGATTGCATGCTGTTAGGTCTTCGATTTATAATTTTATATTAGGGTGTCATGTTCTTATGCTTAAGTAGAGTATCCCAAAAATCACTAGGGTTAGCCTGGTGATTAGGTCGGAAGGAATTGTGGTAGTTAGAAACATGAGAACCTATGTTCAACCCTTATTGCGATCATCATTGTAATCTTTCTTATCTTTACAAAAAAAAAGAAAAGAGCAGAGTATCCCAAAAACTAAGATAGGAGAGTTTACGTGTCGGATAAAAATTTAATTTAAACTAATTAAATTTGGATTGATTTGAATTTTATGAATTTTTTTTGCTTAACCTAAATTGAATTAATTTAATGTTGATTGGGTTAGTTTGGTTTGAATTATTGAATATCCAATGAGTTTTTTTTTTTAAATTAAAAATTTTAAAATAATAAATTTTTTAACATTAATTAAATTTATTGTCAAAATTTAATTAAATTTGTAGATTTGTGATATAGTTCCTCTTGATTTCTTTTCTTAATCTACTTAAGAATTTCAAATACACTACAGTGTATGAAAATGACACTCAATAATTGTAATATAATTCTTTTTGGTTCTTTAAGTATTGGAAAAAAGGAATGAAGAAATCTACATATTATAACACAAAATGTCTTAAAAATAATCAAAATGATATATACGTATTAATTTTTAACCAAATAAAAAATAATAATATATAAACTAATTGATTTGGTTCGGATTGATTCAATTTTTAAATGTGTAAATTTGATATTTAAACCAATCAACATTAGGTTTAATTGATTTGGTTTGGATTGGAACCAAACAAAAAGGAAATTAAACAAATTTAATTAGTTAAGATTGTTGAGTTCATTGGATTAATCTGATTCAATAAAGATCCTAGTCAAAATGGTTAAAGGTACTATTATCATAAATAATAATTTATAATATCACACAAGATTATTTTTTAAGCTTAAATAAGTTTTTTATGAGGTGTATTGGGTGGAGATTTTATAAGTTTTTTTTAGCGTAACAAAGTCTTATAGATTTTAAAAGACTTTATAAAAATTTAATAACTTTTAATATTTTTTTTAAAAGATTTTATGTGGAAATGTAATGACTTTTTTATTTTTTTAAAAAACTTTTTTAATCAAGATTTTGCAATATGAATTTTAATGGATTTAATTTGTATATTAAGAATTTATAAGATTTGAAAGTATTTTATTAATTAGATTTCAAAGAATAATATGATTTTTTTTAAGAAAACAATGCAATTAATAAAAAAATAACATAAATGACAATGCTTGAATAAAGAAAATAAAATCAATAAATTTTTCAATCTTTTAATAAATAATTGATTTTGGTTTCATATCCTTTATACATTTATATTTTCTCATTTATATTATTGAATTTGAATAATATGTTCAAAATTATAATATTCATTAATCGATAGAATTGTTAAAATATATTTTTAATGCGTGTTTAAAATTTTGATGTTTCAATATTAAATTTTATTAAAAATTAAAATTTATTAAAATTTAATAATTTAAAATTTTAACAATATATAATATTTAATAATTCACACATATTTTAACATATTTAATAATTAAAATATAAATATTGATAAATTATACATCAAGATTGATAGATAAAAAAGTTAAAAACAAAGATATTGATAGATAAAAAAAATGAGAAAAAAAATGAGAGATAAACAAAAAGAAAAAAAGAATATGAGATAGAGAAAACATAAGAAGAGAAAGAAAAGAAAAATGATGGAGGCCTATGGGCCAAGGGTCCAATTACTAGGACTATGGTCAAGAGGTTGAAGGAGGAATGGACCAATGCTCAAGAAAAGCCCATGACACTTTTTAGTTGGGTTGTTCATTAAGGCCCATGCAGAGAAGGGTTGGCTCAATTGGGCTTGTATTTTATTTGAAGGCCTTGCATTTTGACCAAGTATAGTAGGTTGTGTTTGGGCCATGTATTTCGGTCATTTATAATTTTCATTTCATGTGAGTTTGTGTCTAATGGAATTTGAGACACATTTAAAGTGCATTTAGAATCATGTGACCGGCCATGTGGATGGTGCACATGGTGTGACTCAAATTCACTCTAAATGTGAACCAAATCACATTAGAATGCAAGCCTCACATGTGAGTGACGAATTTGGTGCCGAGAATCTAGGAAAGGAATTCAAATTTGAAATTCAAATTTAAATTCTAGGTGCCAAGGGTTTAAATTAACCATACCATGGTTAATTTAAACTCTCGGCCACTTAGTTTCCTTTGCACACTATCCGTGACTTATATATAGGATACTCCATGTGTAAATTCCCACTTTGAGCATTTTATGAGAGATACATTTGCATTTTCTCTCTAGCCGAAAGTCACCATTTGAGTTAGGAAAGCTTTCTCTTTGCCTTGAGATTTCCTCTTTGTAGCCATAGAACTCTAATCTGCAGAGCTTAGGCGAGCCTAATTCAACACTTATCCTTCTTCTTTTGGCCTCAATCCTTGAAGAATTCTCAAGGAATACAAGAAGGAGTGGCGTGAAGCAAATCAATGGAGCTTCATCCAATTCGGACTCCATCAATAGGAAAGAGAGAGAAAGGAGAAATATACTTTAGTTGTAATTTTATATTTAGGTGTTATTCTTTTAAATGTTATTGAAATATTTGTTTAACACCTTTTATTTTTTATAATGTCTTTCTATTTTATTGAATTATTTATGAATGTCATTTTGATACGATAGGATTTCCTTTTTCTACAATGTTAATTATGTAAATTTCTTATGATAATAAACAATTAAATATTATTAACTAAGGATAAAAATCATGTACTAATAAAGATTAATAATGATTTAAAAACTTTACTAAAAATTTATCAAATTTAAAAGATTATGTTTGATTTAAAAGTTAAAACAAAATATAAAAAAATAATAAAACATGATAGTGACTTTAAACAAAATATTCTTTAAAATAATTTATACAAAAATACTTAACCTATTTTAAGAAAATAAAATCACTAAAATAATTTCAATGAAGATAATTCTATCACAATAAAATAAAATCACTTAAATAAATCCTAACTTCTAATCCATAAACCCTAAAATTTTAAACACTATAAAACCTTTTTTAATTTAGCAAATTATCTATAAGTTTAAAATTAAAAATTTTAAATATGTCAGTAAAAGAATCACTAAAAAAATAATGAGATTTAGAAATTCTTTTTATCATAAAATAATTTATTATAATAAAATAAAATCATTAACCCCTAAATTAAAATCCTAAATTCTAAATATAAAACTTTATTTAGTTTATCAAATTATCTAAAAATTTAAAATTTAAGTCAATTATAAAAAATCACTAGAATAATAGTGAGATTTGTAAATATTTTTTTTATTAAAACATGATATATTATAAAACTAATTTTAAATTTATCAAATTATCTAGAAGTTTAAAATATGTCGGTCACAAAAAAGATTACCGAAATAATTATGAGATTTGTAAATCATTTTTATTAATAGATAATTTTATTATAAGAAAATAAAAGCACTAAATCCTAAAATCTAAAAACCCTAAATATAAATATTTTTTTAGTTTATCAAAATATCTAAAAATATAAAATTAATTTTTTTTTAAAATATATCAATTACAAAAAAAATGTCAGAATAATTACTAGATTTATAAATATTTTTTTATCAAAACATAATTATATTACAAAAAATAAAATAAAAAAATTTAAATATGTTAATTATGAAAAATTATCAAAATAATTATGAGATTTGTAAATCTTTTTTCATAATTCTTTTTTATTATAAGAAAATAAAGACACTAAACTCTAAATCCTAAATTTAAAATATAACATACATTTTAAATTACCAAATTATCTAAAAATTTAAAATTATAAGTTTTAAATATGTTAGTTAGAAAAAAAATCACTAAAATGATTAAGAGATTTTTGAATCGTTTTTAGTATAAGATAATGCAATTTCAAGAGTTATGGACCTATATTTATAAATTTTTTCATCCTCACACAAAATACTTCTTGAAGAAGCTTCTTCTTGATATAATTATTTAATTTGTTTTCTTTATTATTATTTTTTACTTATTCTCTGAGTTTACTTCATTCTTTCATTTTGTAGTTGAATAAGAGTGTAATAATTAGTATATCGATGATAATTTATTCATTAAATAATAATATGTAACATGCAAGATATTATATAATTATTATTTTATATTAAAATAGGAATCATATTATACTACACTTTACTTATTGATAAATTTAAAAATTAATCTATAAATCTATAATTACATCTTCGTTAAAAAAGTAATATATATAGTGTTCTTACCGGAAATCTACCG